TTAGCATTTATATTTGAAGGTCTGGCAATACCAAGTGTTGGTGAGGGTATGACCAACAGAACCCTCATGTGCTCTGGTGGAATGTGAGTTGGTAGAAGCACTTTGGGAAACTTTGTGGCAGGGTCTACAAAGCTGAACACAAGAATACCCTATGACCCAGCCACTCCACCCTTCGGTGGGCACTCAACAGAAATACGCTCACATCAAGTACTAGAAAGTCTGTGACAATATCAGAATAGCCAAAAATTCCCACCCAGATGCCCATGAATACCAAAACAGACAAACTGCAGTCTATTCACATAATGGACTATTATATGACAATGAGAATAAACACTGACAACTACGTACAACAAGATGGATGACTTTCATGGATATAAAATTGAGCCAGAGAAGCCACATACAAAAGAGCTCATATCATATAAATTCATCTCTATAAAAATTTCAGAAAGGGAGAAAACTAAACTTTGCTGTAAGAAGTCAGGAGCGTGGTGGCCCCGGGGTGACCTCACGCTTGGAAAGCAGGTTGCTGGGAGGTGGGTACCTCGGTGTGTTCAGTTTGTGACAATGCATCATGCTGCATGCATAGTGCTCTTTTCTATGTTAAAGGTCTGGGAATCTGCAACAATTCAAATAAATCAATCACTGACAACACGGATTCTGCAGCGGTGGTGTGCTCCCTTCCTGTCCTGTGCTGGGTGTAAAGACAGATTTTTGCAGAGTTGGCCTGAGTCTGAAAGCTTCCTTATTCACCTTGTTTATGCTGGCTCACATTGTCTCTGGAGAGCAGCTTGTGAGGTGAGAAATCAGTCTAGAGTCACAAGAGTGGGGGTCTGCTGGCCACCGGCTCTGCAACTCTGAGCATGTTATCCTCTCTGCTCACCTTTAGGTAAATGCACACAGGCTCCTTGTGGGAATGGAGAGAGGGGTGTGTGTAAAGAGCTTAGCATGGCACCTGGCATGAAATAAGCGCTCAGGGATGTTAGCTGCATCTCTCAAAATGATTACGTGATTGTGTTTGAGGCTTTTCAAGCCAGATGCATCAGCCTGATGGGTGGAGGGGGGTTAAGGAGGACGCAGAGGACTGTGGGAGGAGAGAGGCACCTGGTGGTGCTCAGGCTCTGCTCCAAAGGGCAGAACCCTTTAGTTACCTGCAGTGTAGCATTACACAACTGTACACAGGATGCTCCAACTGGCTCCAACTTGTAATAGAAGATACAGAAACAGGCAAAACGAATCTATTCATAGTAGTCAGGCTAGTAACTTCCTTGTGAGGGGACAGTGAGTGGAAGGGGGCACAGAGGAGATTGCTGGGGAGAGGAGGTCACGCTCTGTGTCCTGACCTGGTGTACTAACGTGTGAGGTTCGTGAACATGCATCAAGCTCAGTACTTAAGACATGCACTTTTCCTTTGGGTCTCCATGTAAGAATCAGGCCTCATTTTTGCTCTGGTCTAAAAGAATTAAAGTCAGTGGGCTGAACACTGCCCCCACCCTGGCGCTCTGCAACACAGGCTCCAAGTTAGGAAGGAAAGGCCAGCAGGGGAAGCCACCTCATTACGAGCGCCATGGTTTTGCCAGCAGATGGCACTGGTTTAGAGAGGATGGAGGAGCTCTGACTTTTCCCACCTGAGGGGTGTTTTCTACACAACCCGGGAGGCATATAGTTGGATGAAAGTTCTCAGGAAACCCATGGGCCAGCTCCGTTGAAGGCCAACAGTTGTTCCTCCAGTGGCAGGAGGATGATCTAGTGGCAGGGCCCAAAAGTACCTGTCACCAAAGGTGTGAGGTGCTCCAGCTGCCCCAGCTACAGTAAAATCTGGACTCAAAGGACAGCTGGTCAGAGACTGGAGGAGGAGTCAGGTGACAGAAGTAACCACGTGTGTGTGCGGTCTTGAAGAGGGAGGCGTCTGCAGAAAGTGAACACTCCCCAGGAGAACCTGAGACAAGCAGTTACGCTGCAGGACTGCCAATGACAGCTCCTGCCACCTCCTGGGACAGTCGTGGGCTCCAGGTCTCAGATACACCTCACGAGGATTCTATAGCAAATAACATTGAAAACATCACCCTCTCTCTGCACAGAGTGGGTGGGGGCTTGCCTTTACTTTGGTGTTTCATTACGTGTCTGAATTTTTCCGAGTTGCTTTGGGTAGAGTCTCTCTTTTTTTTTCTTTGGTAACTATTTTAAGATGTAATTCACATTCACTCATATTAAGTGTACAATTCAGTGGCTTCTGGTACATCAACAGAGTCGTGCAACTGTCACAACAAATAATTTTAGGACATCTTTACCACCCCCAAAATAAAACCTGTACCCATTAGCAGTTGCCTCCATTTCCCCTGAATTCTCCCAGCCCTAGGCAGTCACTAAGCTTTCCATCTCTACAGATCTGCCTATTCTGAACATTTCACATAAATCACACAATATGTGTTACTGTGTGACTCATTTCTTTCATTCAGCATGTTTTCAAGGTTCATCCACGTTGAAGCACATGTGAGAATTTCATTTCTTTTTAATGGCCAATAACATCCCATTGTATGGACAGACCACATTTTGTTGATTATTTATTAGCTGTTGGGTTGTTTCCATTTTTTTTTGGCTATGGTGAATGTGAATATTCATGCTGTGAGTATGAACAAGTGCTATGGATATTTGTGTATGGTTTTTGTGTGGACATATGTATTCATTTCTCCTGGGCATTTTCTTATGAGCAGAATTGTTAGTGACCCTATGTTTATTCTTTTGACAAACATTTGCCTTTAGTTTTTAGTGCAAAAATACAATTCAATCATCGCGTTTATTCCTTGATTCCTTGGAGCAAGTGAGAGATGGCAGTTCAATTTTAGGAGGGAACTGAGGCCCAGGGCACTGAAAGGATAGCAAATAGTAACAGCCACCATTTGTCTTGAATGCCAAGAACCAGGCAAAGTGACCTGACCACAGTGAGCCAGTCCATCCTCACAATAGCTCTATGAAGCTGGTATTATATTTAATCCCATTTGTGGTTAGAAAATTGAGTACTTTGAACAAGGCCACACAGTAGTACGGTCCAAAACTTGAACCCAGTTCCATCTTACTAAATTTTAGGCTCTCACTGGCGCTCAAATCCTCTGCCATTTGGTGGACTTTGAAGGGTCATCAGATCTCCACCCAGCCTCTGGCATGTTAAGGCTTGTCTGTCCTGTACTACTGCACGGGACACTCTGGACCACCCTTTGCCCTCCCTCCTCTCTGACCCTTCTCAGTCTCCACAGGGCTTTCCTCTGGATTCATCCTAGAGCCCCTTTCCTTCATAATGAGACTTCCTGCCTCCAATTTCCAGTCCTTCCACACTGCCGGAATGATCTGTCTCAAGTACTGATCCAGTCACATCGCTCAGCTTAAAATTCTCACCACTCTCCATCACTATTGAACAGGACAAATTCTACATTCCACAGACTGGTCTATAAAACCCCCATTTTTCTTCATGCAGCACCCTCCCATTTCATACTCTACAATCCAGCCACAAAGAACTGCTTGGATTTCCCCAGAGACACTGTCATTCTGGGACTTTGCATTAGCAGTTCTCTCAGCTTGGAGTACCCTTCCTCACTTCTTTCACCTGGGGACCTCCTACACATCCTTCAAGTCCCAATGTCAATGTCTATCTCCTCTCCGAAGCTCTCCTTGTCTGGGTGCTCCATCCCTGACCTCTCAAAGTGCTTTGCTTTACAGTCTGCAACACAATCTATTCTATTAGTCTCTCTAGCTGGACTGTGTGCATTTTGAGAACAGAGATTGGGCTTTATTCCATTCTGTATATTTCCAGGCCTAGAATAGGATCTTGCTTGGTTGAATGACTAAATGAATGAATGTTCCATATCTGCACTGTCCAATACAGTAGCCACAAGTCGCATGTGGCTATTGAGCCTAGGAGATGTAGCCAGTCCAAATTGAGATGTCCTATAAGGATAAAGTGCACACTGGATTTCAAAGACTTGGTGTGGTAAAAAGAACATAAAAAACTCACTGATGATTTTTACATGGATTAAATATTGGAACAATAATACTCTGCATATATTGGGTTAATTACTAAAATTAATCTCATCTGTTTTCTTTTTACCTTTTTAACATGATTAGTAGAAACTTTAAAATTGCATGTGTGCTGGTCTCCCAGCTTCCAAATTGCTTCTCTTGATCTAAACCATGCTCCACACAGCAATCAGAATGATTCTTTAAAATGTCAGTTGAATCATATACAGTTGACTCTCATTGTAAGTGGTAGTTATACTCTATAAAGTCACTGAAAACACTGAATTGGTGTGAATACCCCCAACTACTGCTCCTAGGGGAAATGGAGGTTAAGGCTCCTGTCAGCCACTGATCACAAATGATTGATACATAACCATGTATTGAGTGTTTGTATTTTATAACGCCTTGTTTAACATGTATCCTTGGTTCAATAACAGTAACATTGTAACTCACGCCTGCACAGTTTATCTACACAGGTATCGTCTCTATAAGGCACATCGCACCCTTCCTGCGCTCAAGAACACTGGACAGAGCTTCAGAATTATGTCTGAGGGCCATTTTAAACAGCAAAATCAACTAAAGCACACAAATGCCAACAACATGGCATTAAAAATACCCAACGACACCTGTTAACAGCATGAGGGCTGAAAGGAGAAAACAGAATGTTGTCTTATTTAACTCCGCTTGTAACCTCCACATCAGGCAATTAAAATCTTTCCCATCTGGGTCTGTCCGCATAACGCACAGCACCTAAATTCCGTAAAGGTCTGTGGAGTAACTGAACAAACGCGCCCGGAAGGAAGGAAGGAGTGGAGGCCGCGGTGCTGGCGGGCCCTGAGGGAGGGCTTCACAGGGCCTCCCCTTATCTTCCAGCCACTTCCCCACGCGACAAAAAGACCCTGGGCCCTCCCACGTGCCTCGCCGGGCCCGAAGCGCTTCCGCGCCCCTGACGTCACCGGGGCTCGTCACGTGCCTCCTCGAGTCCCCGCCCCGGCGCGGACCTCACGGCCCTGCCCGTCGCCGTGACGCCACAGGCCTCGGCCCTGCTCGAAAGCCTACTCGCCTCCTTCTGCCAGACGCGCGACTGCGAGCTGCAGAGGAGGCCGTTCTTGCTACTGCGGCCGCAGGTGCCGCGGGGACGGTGAGTCGCCTCGGCCATTCGAGACGGCTTCCCGCGGACGGAACCCCCAGCCACCCTAACAAAAACCCCGGAG